CGGGCGGGTGGGGGGTCTGGCAGAGCCCTTACCGAGCTGGGCCCGATCCAGAAGTTTTCCTGCTGGATGTACTTGACGCTCTCGTAGACGCCCTTGTTCCTCAGCACCTGCCGAGCCAGGCCAGGGTCAGCTCCCGCTTGAGGGGGCCGGCGGTGTGGGGGTGCAGCCCCCTCTCCCTCTGCTCGTGGGGAGCTGAGCAGCCCCCTTCATCCAAGGGGAAGGGCTGCTGGGTCCCACCAGCAACATGGGAGGGAGAGCAGCTCTGCTGCCGGCACGCATGCCGCTGCTCAGCCAGCACACGTGGAGCCCCTGCCCTGGCTATTTAATGGAACCTCTCAAATAGCAGGAGCCAGCAGCACCCCAAGATGCTCTCAGCCCTAGCAGAGAGCACGACAGCATGGGACACTGGTGGTCACGGTCCCCCCAGGAAGATGGATGCTTGCTCTTCTCTCCAGCCTGGGTGCCAAGGGAGCAATGCAGCCGGCTGCAGGTTCCCAGGATTAACCCCAGAGGGAGGATCACGCCTCCGAGGTGTTGAAGGCACCCCCCAGACACCAGACTTGCTTTCCTCAGCAGCTAGCTAGTTGCCATTTCAGAACCAGGCATGTCACTGGAGAGCTGGGAGGGGACGGCCCTGGCCGGTAGCTCTTAAACTTACTAACTCTGTCGTCACGTGCTGGGTGAAGCCGATGGGGGCGATGCCGTAGGTGCCGATGACCAGCAAGGTGATGAGGATGTGGACAAAGGTGATCCAGTACGTGAAATATGGCCTGCGGAGGAAAGGACCCAAAATTTGAGCAGCTCAAGAATGGCTGGGCAAACGGACGCTGCAGTCCCCCAAGCCCTGATCCATGAGCATCGAGGGGGACACACATCTGAGTTACAGCTGGGGAGCCCTGAGGAGTCCCGTGCCCATCCCCATCCCATCAGTCCCCCCCTCACCGGTGGCTGTCGGTGATCTCCAGCTGCGACTGCACGATGCTGCTCAGGCTGCGGCGGTACGTCCTGTTCAGCCACTTCCCCACCACCCCCAGCCCATAGTAGCGTTTCTTGCGGTCGAAGGCGAAGTGCTTCACTTTAGAAGCAATGCGCCTGCCTCGCCGGGGAGCCGGGCCGGTGCTGGTGGAGGCCGAAGTGAGCCGGACACCCTCCCGCCTGCAGAGAGAGGAGAAACCCATCACGCCTGCCGAAAGGGGTCAGCTGAGAAATCCCCCACGTACAACCCCACGGCCATAATCCAGAGCTGGGGAAGGACAGAGGACGCCTGGGATGAGGGCTAGGGCACCTCTTGGCTTCATCCTCCTAGGTGCATGCCAAAAGTGCCCAGTGCCCCACAGCATTGACTGTGGCAGGGGACCTGGGCAGCCTCAGGGGCAGCACCCGCCAAGAGCTGGTACTCACGGGGTGGGCTGCTCCACCTCGGGGGACGCCCTGGCATCCTCCCCCACTGGGTGCATGCGTAAATACGTGGCCGATAGAGGCGGCGACTCGAAGACATCATCGGGCATGGAGTACGTCTCGTCGTGCATGTCCATCTGGAAGGAGGATGGAGACGCGTTCTTGGACGTGTGCAATGGGTGAGAAACCTCCCCCTGACGGAGCATGCCCATGACCAGGCCATGCCTGGCTCCACCTGGCCCCAGAGCCTGGGGAGGGGGTGATCCCCATTGACATCCCATTAACTGCACATCACAGGGTGTGAAACATGCCCACGATATATTGGCGTTCCTCCCGGCCACCCCTGAGGAGCACCACCGAGACCAGGGCTCTGTAGCGCTGGGCACAGTGGCCACCGATGCCCCTGCTCCCAGGCAGGGCAAAGCACCGACATGGGGGTCCCCGTCAGAGCCCTGCTCCATGTCCAGGCCCCGTGCAGGGGCACCGGGACCCCTCCCCGCTCCGGCGGCCGGCGTGGAACAGCGCTTGCCTTACTGAAGAAGGATGAGTCCAGGGTATCGGCAGCATCCACCATGTCCTCGTCCATGAAGCTGGGGTACACGAAGCTCCTCTTGTTGCTCCTCCGCTTGGGAGCCAGCGGCTCCAGGACAGAACGTCCCTTTGGCAGGGGAAGCAAATGAGGGTAAGCAACCAGAAGTCCTCCAGTTTTTGCAGCACTGAGGGTTTCTCGTAATTTCCCTCCCCAAAGCCGAGTGGCAAGGATTAAATCCCAACCGGCCACCATATCCCACTGCGTGGGAAGGGCAGGCAGCAGGAGCCGGCAGCAGATGCTGCCTTTAGCTCCTCAGAGCCAGCGTTGGTCCATGACCATGTTAGCCAGCATGACAAGTGAACTCTGAATCCTGTTTGGTCTCAGTCCCACAAACCTGTCCCCAAAGCTTGCCCAGGGCTCCCCAGGGGCTAGAAAGCTGCTGGAGAAGCTTCCTGGCTCCTCAGCAGTGAAACTCAGAAGCTGCTTTTTTCTAGGGATGTCCAGTTTTCACCAAAACTTCTCTTTTTAAGCAGAGCTCAGGTTAAAAACCACCAACGTTCCCGCTCAAACCCACCCTGGAGAGACAGCAATCTCTGTGCAAAGCAAAAAGCCAAGAAGCAAAGACGATGGGCGAAGGACAGAGCTGAAACCCAGGTCAGGAAGACGACGGTGCCCCCCAGGTTCCCAAAACTCACGCGGAGAAGGGCCGCGGCCGCCTTGAAGCTCATGTGGGCGACGGACTCCCTCTTCCTGCGCGGCAGGCGGCCGTAGCCAGAGCGGATGCTGTTGAAGGACGCCAAGGAGACGACGCCGGGGGTGAGCGGGGGCAGGACGTGGTGGGGCGTGTGGGGACGGTCTGTCTCATCGGGATGGCGGAAGGGACGGCCCCTGGCCAGCGGGTCCACGATCTGGAGGAGGGAAGAGGTGTCAGTGTTGGGAGAACAAGGCTGAGAGCCGGACCCCGCACCCCGAGCTCTACCTTGGGCATCTTGGCGGGCTTGGGCGACTCGGTGCCTTGGAAGGAGGGCACCTCCTGGCTGGGCAGCTCCATGTCGCGGTAGGCAGGCTTCAGCTTGCCGTATCTCATGCTGCAGTGCTGCAAGCTCTTGCGTTGCCACTGCTGCCGCTTCCCCTCCCAGTCGCTGCTGACGCCAAACCATTGCGCCGTGCCCCTGGACACACGATGGGCGCGCTCGTCACCCAGCTGGTCTCCCCACCCCAGGTACCGCCATCCCACCCGGGCATCCCCTCCGGCAGGTGATTTGGGTTGGGGTGTCTCAGCTCAGCCTGCAGCAGGGCAAGTTTTGACCTGGCTATGGGTCGGGGAAGGGATGCTGCAGAGGGGTCGCTAGCCTTTGGGTCTCTCCGGAGAGGTAACTCCATCAAGACTTGCACCTTGCACGGGACAGTGCATCAGCTCCGGGCTGCAGCAGGCCTCTAGCTCAAGGTGCTTTTGAAGGTCCTACATAAAGAGGGCAGAGAAATTTTCCCAAGGTGCAAAACAATGGTTTGAATTAATAATAAACAATCCTGCTGCGGGATTATCCCCAGGCAGACACCAGCGAGTCAAAGCACAGCTGCATGAAACCTTCTGAGCTCCAACTCTCCATCTCCATCCTAAGTCCTCTGCTGGTACCCACAGCCACAACACCCTGACGGGGACTGAGGGACCCCTTCGGTGACCCAGCCGCTGCCGGAGCCTGCCCTGCCCTCGCACTCCCG